CACCCCACCCCGCACCCAGAGGTTTAACTCCTTCAGTGGTTGCTTTGAGCCGTAGACCCTCGGTAAGTACCAGCGACGCAAGGGACGGAAACTTTCTGCCTGTGTGGCAGTTGGAAGACAGAAAGGAAGGGCTGTGGGTAACGACAAAAAAAATCCAGGAGTGATGCCTCACGCTGTAACCCCAGCTTTTGTGAGATTGAGGCAGGAGGATTGCGGCGAGTCCTTCAGCCCCCTGGGCTATGTTGTGAGTTCTAGGTGAGTCTGGGCTACAGAGTAAACACCTTGTCACAAAAAACAAAGCAGATAGAAAGGGGAACACGCCGACTGGAAAATCAACCCCCATCCTCTGCAGTAAACAATGCGAGTTCTGGAGTTTTCGCGTGTGTGTGTGCGTGTGTGTGTGTGAGAGCGTTGCAATCGGGAGCCAAGAAATATCACAAAGTGAGTGTTAGCACAGAAGCTTGCAGTACTGCGTGTGTGTGTGTGTGTGTGTGTGTGTGTGTGTGTGTGTGTGCGCGAGCGTTGCAGCTCCGATGGAAAAGTGCTCTGACAATCGGGAGCCAAGAAATACCACAAAGTGAGTGTGTTAGCACAGCAGCTTGCAGTACTGCCCCGGGAAAGGTTTCCCCAATGTAACAACTCTGCCGAGGGTTTCCCCGGCGAAGTTGTTACGGTTCTGCTCCGGTACAGTTCTGCTCTGATTTCCAGAGTTTAACAACTTTGCCGCACCAGGGGATGGTTTCTCCGGCGAAAGTGTTACCTGCTTTGCTCTGCTCCCCTCCGCCCCGGGTCCGTACCCAAACCTCATTTAAGAGATTTATTGAGAGGGAAGAACCCAGGAGAGTAGCTGTCTCTGCCAGGGTGGAAATAGCAGCAAACTGAACAGGCACGGGGCTTATATAGGGATTCTTGGGAGCAGAGTTTTCCCAAGATTTCCAGGGTGGGAACTGGTCAGATTTTCAATGCCCTTGTGTTTGGACAAGGTCAGATTGGCTAGATTTCATGCATAGGGATTGGTTGGTTTTGTGCTCAGGTGGTCAGGGGCAGATTTGGCTCTGGTTTCAAGACCAAACCGTGTTCCTTTCAGCCTTTTGGCTCTAGTATCAGGCAGGACTTTTTTTTTTTTTTTTTTCCCCACTGACTCTGGTTCCAGGGTCAGGGTGTTTCTTTGGCTCCGGTTTCAGGGTCAAGCTGTGTTTCTTTGATTCTGGTTAGGGTATGTTTCTTTGGCCCTTTTTCCAGTGTGTGTGTGTGTGTGTGTGTGTGTGTGTTAATGTAATTGTGGGTGCACAGATGCGGAGGCCAGTCAGAGGACAACTGGGAATTAATTCCCTCTTTCCATCATTATGTGGGTCTTGGACTTGAACTGTGATCCTTAGGCTTGTATCACAACCATCTCCCAGGCTCAGTTCTGGTTTTTTGTTTGTTTGTTTGTTTTTTATGTAACTTAAAAATCACCTAGCATTTCTGCTGTTTTCATTCCACAAGATCTTACTTCTGATATATTTATGCCAACTTCAGCTTGCCAGTGTGAAACACATTCAGGAGAACCTCCAGACACAATCTTTTATCAGGGGCTTTCTTAGTTATTTTTCTGTTGCTGTCAAGAGACACCATGACCAACATATAAAAGAGAGCATTTAGTTTGTAGCTTGTTTACAATTTCAGAGGTTGTGTTCATGACTGTCACTTCTGGGAGACTGGGAGCAGTCAGGCTTGTTTGCTAATGCAGTGCCTGAGGGCTTATAGTATTGTGCCAAAAAAGGACCAGGCAGAAAGAGAACTCTAGTGGTGTGGGCTTTTGAAGCCTCAAAGCCCACCCCCAATGACACACCTCCTCCAACAAGGCCACACCTATTCCTTACCAAACAGTTGCACCACCTGGGATGAAGCATTCAAACATATGCACCTATGGAGGCCATTCTCATTCAAACCACTACAGAGGCTAAGCAGCCACCAGGATGTTCAGAGCCTCTGAGCCACATAGGGAATAAATAAACTCCCCTAGGAATTGTTGATGACTGGAGTGGAAGTCACAGCTTACATCTAAACTTATTAACTTCAGCAGGTTCAGGTTGGTTGAAACGTGTGTTGAGAAGAGGTGAGAGAGACTGCCTATAAACTCTGTGAACATATCAAAGGACCAGAAGTGCTCATGCCCTGTAGTCAGACCTGAGAAGGGGAGAGAGTCAGTGAGGGTCCCGGTGCAATAACAGTGCATCCATCTTTAACAGCACCTCAGGGTCATCTCTGAAATAGAAGGTTAAATAGAAGGACATGTTTGTCGAAACAACCCCCCAAATAAACAAAAAACGGAAACTGGTGGTCTGAATAAGAACAAGCTCCACAGGCTCCTATATCTGAATGCTTAGTCATCTAAAAGTGGTGCTGTTGGAGGAGGGTTAAGAGGTATGGCCTTGCATGGCAGGCCCAGTGTTCTCGTTCTCTCTCTCTCCCTCTCTCTCTCC